TCAGTAGGGGGCGCTGTGCTGCAAGGAAGGGGTGGGGAGTCAGTAGGGGGCGCTGTGCTGCAGGGAGCAGAGTGGGGTCAGTAGGGGGCGTTGTGGTGCAGGGAGCGGGGTGGGGGCTCTGTAGGGGGCACTGTGGTGCAGGGAGGGGGTGGGGCTCTATGGGGATGCTGTGCTGCAGAGGAAAGGGGAGAAATCCCATCTCAGCCCCCTGATCCTCATCTCTCCCCCATAGGTTACCTTCTCCTGGGGCTCCTGGCCATGCTGCTGGCCCTGGAGACCATCTATGAGCTGCGCGAGGTCCACAGCCTTGTCCGATTCTTCGCCCCTCCACGGGCCCCTGCCTCCCCCTCCAGTGAGGACGATGACCAGATGGAGATCCTGAGCCGTGACCAGCTGGGCCTGGCTACTGTCTGCGGGGCCACCCCCTCTGGGAGCCAAGCGGACAGCGAGGCAGATGGGAGAGTGGCACCCCATGATGGCCCCTCTGGGTAACCCCCACGGACAATGTGTTGTGTGTCCCCCACACACACCTCCTTTCATGCATCAATAAATGAAGCTGTACAGAATAGACACTGACCGTGGGCATGTGGAGTGGGGGTGCCAGGCTGGTACCAGTACCATTGTTTTATCTCGGGACGGGGAGAATATGGGCTGGATGAGCCCATTGGCAGCACCGCCCAGAGGATTCAGTGGGGCTGGGGCAAAGCAATTTCGGGGGCCCCTTCCATAAAAAAAAAAAAGTTGCAATACTGTAGAATACTATATTCTCGTGGGGGCCCCTGGGGCAAATTGCCCCACTTGCCCCCCCCCCCCGGGTGGCCCTGCCCATTGGTCTCACTGGGGGAGAGGGGGATACAGGGGTGGCTGATCCCATGGGTTGGATCTGGGGCAGCAGAGAGGGGACATGCTGGCATGGAAGAGGCCACAGGTGTGACCCTGAGTGGGCAGGGGTGGGGGAGATAGATGGGAAGGCACTTGGTAGCCTCAGAGTAAACAAGCCGCCCTCCTATGACCTATCCCACCATCACCAGGAATTACCCAGGAGCTCCTAAGAGCTGTTGCCCAGGAGGGGTAAGTCTTGGACCCTGTGCCTGTCCCTGAGCCAGGCCAATGCCAGCCTCACAGCCCAGGGGAGCAGCAAAGACTACCACCTGGGCCCTATGGTCACTCCTACCTCCTGGCCCACCTGGCCACAGCAAGGTGAGAATTCCCTTCCCAGAGGGGTACAGCTCTGGAAGGGAAGGGGTCTAGTGGGTTAGAGCAGGGGGTGCTGGAAGCCAGGACTCCTGGGTTCTAAGCCAGGATCTGAACAGTCCAAATAGGTAAAAAGTTCCTAATGCCAGTTACAACGTTGTGGTGGTTTGTTGTTTTAATAACTGTTGCACTGCTGTGGAGGAAGCTCACAGCGCCTGAGTCCCCAGCTGGGGGCACTGCTGTGGAGGAAGATTGCAGTGCTGCACTCACCCTTTCCTTTCTCAGGTGAGCACCCCCACTTGCGGATCCCCTCACCAGACAGTACTCCTGGGCCTGGGCCACAGGGAGGGTGCGGGGTGGGGCCCTGATGGTGGCTAGCATCCCCTTGTCCTGGGTATGGGAAAACCACTGTGCTCAGCTTGCGCTGTCTGCCTTGGACGGACACCCCTCTTCAACAAATGGCTCAATACCATCTGGAACTGCTTCTTCCTTCTCCTCTATCCTGCTGGGCACAGCTGTGCCCCCCCACCAGCCGAGACCAGAGAGTTGGGAGGGAGGGCTGGCAGCCAGGACTCCTCGGTTCTTCCCAGCTCTGGAAGGGGAGTGGAGTCTAGTGGGTTAGAGCAGGGTGGCTGGGAGTCAGGATGCCTGGGTTCTGTCGCTAGCTCTGGGAGGGGTGTGTATGGGGGCGAATTAAACTGGGCTAAATGCTCACTGTAATTTCACTAAGACACTAATGGGGGGGGGGGGGGGGTGTATCACTCACAAAACCCCGCAAAATCCCGGGGGAGGGGCGGGGGGGGGGGGGGGGGGGGGGGGGGGAAAGGAGGGGGGGGGAGAAGCTGAGGGTCCATTGGGAGGGACAGTCAGTGCAGGGGTCTGATGGGAGGAGGAGAGAGCATCAGGTGAGGTGGAGGGAGGCAGATGGGAGGGGAGTGAGTAGGTGAGGGGGTGGGGAGGCAAGAGGCTGTGGTAGGTGGGGGCTGAGGGTAGAAAGCAGTGGGGGAGGGGCAGGAGTGGGGGTTCAGGAGGGGAAGCACTAGTGGATGAGGGTGCAGGAAGCCGTGGCATTCCAGCTGGTCTACCCCCAGCAGCCTTGAGGACTCCCTGGAGCCCTGTCCCTCCAGGTGCTGGTGCAGGCGGGGGCGCTGACTGCTGTGTGCTCTGGATACTGGCTGGGTACCTGCATCTGTGGGCACTGCCCCAGCTGTGACCCTGCGATGCCACTGCCCTGCTGGCACCAACCCTGCTGCCACCTTCCTACTGTCCTGGATCAGCCTGCAGGAGCCTATTGCTGGCATCTGGGTGAGACACCCCGCCGCTAACCACTGCCCATCCCCATTGGGAGAGAACCCAGGAGTCAGGTTCTCTGTAGGCATCATCCTGTCGGTCCATGGCACTGGGTTATGCCTGGGGCTCTGGCTGTGGGGTGTTGCTGAACAGCCTTGAAAACTGGAATCACAGAAATGGGGTGAAATGTGATACTGCAAAGTGCAAGGCCATGCACGTAGGGACTAGCAACAAGAGCTTTTCCAATAAGCTGGGGACATCTCAGTCGGAAGCAAGAGAGGAGGAGAAAGACCTGGGCGTATTGGTCGATCATAGGATGACTATGAGCTGCCAGTGTGATGGGGCAGTGGAAAATGCTAGTGCAGTCCTAGGATGCATGAGGCGAGGTATTTCCAGTAGAGACAGGGAGGTGTTAGGACCATTGTACAAGGCACTGATGAGACCTCATCTGGAATATTGTGTGCAGTTCTGGTCTCCCACGTGTAAGAGGTGAATTCAAATGGGAAGATGTGCAGAGAAGGGCTACTACGATGGTCTGAGGAATGGAAAAGAGACTCAAGGAGCTTGGCTTGTTTAGTCTAACCCAGGGATCTCAAACTCAAATCACCACGAGGGCCACATGAGGACTAGTACGTTGGCCCCAGGGCCACATCACTGACACCTTTTCATATAAATGTACAAAAAGACCCTCCCCCCGCTGTCCCCAGCCCTGCCCCCACTCCACCCCTTCCATGAGGCCCTGCCCCTATTCCAACCCCTTCCCCAAATCCCCACCCCAGCCCTGCCTCTTCTCCGCCTCCTCTCCTGAGTGCATGGCTCCCCACTCCTCCCCCTCCCTCCTGGAAAGCACTAAGCGCCGCCAAACAGCTGTTTGGCGGTGGGAAGCGCCTGGAAGTAGGCAGAGGAGTGGGGATGTGGCGCGGTTGGTGAGGGGAGCTTGGTGGTCGCAGGAAATAACTCTGGGGGTGGGGGTGGGGCACAGGAAGCTTGGTGGACACAGGAAATAACTCGGAGGGGGGGGCACGGAGTGCTTGGTGGACTGCAGGAAATAGCCCCCTGGGCCGTGTGTTTGAGACCCCTGGTCTAACCAGATGAAGGCTGAGGGGAGATCTGATTGCTCGCTATAAACACATCAGAGGAGGGAGAGGAATAATTTAAGTGCCAATGTGGACCCAAGAACAAATGGCTATAAACTGACTATCAACAAGTTTGGTTCCTAATTAGTTGAAGGTTTCTAACCATCAGAGGAGTGACGTTCTGGAACTGCCTTCTGTGACGTTATGAGTGTAATATAATATCTCATTGAAAGGTGACACAGAGCCAGAAAGAGTTGTTTAACTCTCAGACTGACATGACCCATGGCCGAACTTTAAAGACTTGTTAGGAACATGTGTAAACAAATAGAGCTTTGAAATGCAAGCCTGCATTGTTAGAGATAGAAGGGTAGATGTTTGCTGAGGTCTTGTGATGTAAGCAAACAAGTCTTGCATATTGCTATAGCTTTGATTCAAAGATCAAAAAAGGAGTATCAGTATTTAGGAAGACATTTGAGTGAAATAGTATTATTGTCTATATGTCTCTTTGAAGGTTGTGGTAACCTGTATCTGAACTGTTTAATGGATAAATTACCCTGTGCTAATTTACATGATGTTTGGGAGAAGGAAAGTTAAGCCTATTGTTTTCTCAGGCCAAAACGCTGTTGGAAATGTATAAAAGCCCTGGGACACGATCCTCCTTCATCTCAGATCTGCTTTGGGTTTCAAGAAGGGAAAACCGTGAGCCATAAGGATTGAAATCCCCAGTCACTGACTGGAGTCACCCTGAATATGGACATTGGACTATAACCTATGGACCATTTCTAAAAGGAATTTTGGCAACTACAAGCTCATCTCTGCTATGTATCTGAACCTCAAGAATTGAATTCAAGTCTGTATGTATATTGTTCTTTTAACCAACACACTCTCTTTTCTTTTGTAATAAATTTTAGTTTAGTTAACAAGAATTGACTACAAGCGTGTATTTTGGGTAAGATCTAAGTTATAATTGGACCTGGGTGTGTGGCTGACCCTTTGGGATTGGAAGAACCTTTTCTTTTATATGATGAGATAAGATGTTCAGTAATCATTATCATATCTAACATGTGTGTCTGGATGGAGGCCTGAGGCTGGGCACTTTAAGGGAACTGCATTATTTGGACTTCTGAGTGACCAGTGAAGTAATATAGAAGTTGTTTTGTGCTGGCTTGGTAAATCTAAGTATTGGAATATCCACCAGCCTTTGGGGTTTGTCTGCCCTGTTTGTTTGCAGTTCACCCTAATTGAGTGACCTCAGCTGGCCCCCACGGGCAGCATTGTCACACCTTAAGTTCCAAGGGGAGCAGTGGAGGTAAAAAACCTAACTGGCTTCCAGACTAAGCTTGCTAAGTTTATGGAAGGGATGGTATGATGGGACTGCCTACAATGGCGTGTGACCCTCCATGACTGATACTAGCAAATCTCTCCAAGGGCCGGTGATGGGACACTAGATGGGGAGGGCTCTGAGTTACTACAGAGAATTCTTTCCCAGGTGTCTGTCTGGCGAGTCTCGCCTGCATGCTCAGGGTCTAACTGATCGCCAGATTTGGGTCAGGAAGGAATTTTCCCCTGGGTCAGATAGAGTCCCTGGGTTTGTTTTTTGTTTGTTTGTTTCCTTCCTCTGCAGCATGGGGCATGGGTCACTTGCTGGTTTGAACTAGAGTAAATGGTGGATCCTCTGTAACTTGAAGTCAGTAACTTAGCCAGAGGTTAGGGGAAAATGATGGGTGTGGGTGGGCGAGATTCTGTGCCCTGCAAAGTGCAGATCAGACAAGGTAATCATGCTGGTCCCTTCTGGCCTTAAAGTCTATGAGCCATGGCCTCTGCTCTGCCTCAGGTGAGCATCAGCCCTTCATCCAGCTCCATGGTATCTGGGCCTGTTCATTGCCTTCAGGAGGGTGGGGTGGGGATTTCATGTTAACTCATCATCTCTGG